TCTCTTTCTTACCATAAGCTCTAAGACTTCCTTTATTGGAGATAAATTTAGAGAGAGGGGAGGAAGAATGCCTAAGTCGTGAAGGCAGTTCAAGAGTGGTAGTGGTTAAGGGTGAAAAGATACAAATCCTCACATACTATTCTGGTCCCACGTTTTATAATGATTTAAGATGAGACCAGTGACACTTCTGGGTTGTGAGAATGAGTAAGACAGTTTACTATTCTCGTGCAGAATAGTATTACCGCACTGAAGGCACTCAAATCTCTGTCAAGGGCTGATTGGGAGGACATGTTACCATTTCCTTATACCTACTGTCTTAATCCATTTGGGATACTTTGTTTAAAAAAGTGGGACTGGAAACTACAGATGAAACAAGCCTTTGGTATCTGGTGATGGCCTTTTTGCTGCATCTTCAAATGGGAAAATGCACAATGGCAAAAAATTAATAAATAAAATAATTAATAAAATGAAGGATCCATTTAGTTCCTTGGAGTCCCTCTATAAGATGCTATTCACATCTATGGAAGATATAGCCCCCATCTCTAACACTATGGCACTTCAGGTGAGTTTAAATATAAGTTTTGGAGAGGACACAAATATTCAAACATAGCACTTGATCAGAGAAGACATTATTTTAAACTCCACAAAATGAGAATCAAAGAGCCAATGGATATTCTGATATAATTTGGCTATATATGCTCTTGCTGCATTTAACCCAGAATGATAGAAAGAGGAGTCCTTAAATGTCAAAGAGGAGAGGGATTGTTGCTTCAACTTCTAAGGACTGAGCTAAGAAAACTGCAAAGCAAAAAGCTTGTCTTTGGAACCACCTTTAACCTTCTTGGTTACCATCTTCATGCAAATACACTGGACAGTTCTCCAGTTCCCAATGGATACCAATGGTCTCTTGTTGAACCAGTGACTGACCTCATTCTAAAAATCTATTTCCCCACCTTCCTTACATCTCTGTCTAATCTCCTTGACTTAATGTTCATTCATCCCAAGGATGATGTTGCCTTCATATAGCAGCAGGTGAGGTCGTTTGTTCTCAAGTGCCAACTACCTCAGTGAATTTGTAGAATTCTTTTTTCAGAAATATTTCTGATTTATTAGATGTTTCAGTACAAAGGAATAATGATGGGTTTGGGACATTTTTTGAGAGGAGGGAAATAGAATGATTTGAAGGTAAGTGTTCCAGAGAATCACCTCATTCATGTCAGTGAAAGTCTGTCTATCTTTGACATGGATTCCCTCACACCCAGAGTTCAGTCACTTTTTCTCATAGACTGAAAACAGGAGGGTTTTTTGTTGTTTTGGGGTTTTTCGTTTGTTTGTTTTACATGCAGGCATCCACAAAGCATGGGACAACCTGTAGGGTGGTTATCTTGGCCTCTTCTACCCTCTATGTTGCAGGACACTCACCTGACCTGCTTGTACTGCAAACTGTGACCTCCGTGTACACTCTGACCTCACCTGCTTTTCCTAATGCATCACCAGCAATATGATTAGTACTGGCTCTCAGGAAAGAGGCAAAGATGTTCCCAAGGATGTTTTCCTGCCTACTTCCCTCATCCTTGCAGAGATAATGCAATGAAGCACTGATAATCTTGGATTTAAAGTCAGAATTGCTTTGTGATGTACAAATAGTTAATATGTATGTGAAAAAGTGTTCAGCTCTTCAGCACTGATAATCATTAAGGAAATGTAAATCACATCATGATGAGATGCTTCTTCATCCCAGGAAGAATGGCTCTGGTCAAAAAGAAGTAAGATAACAAATGCAAAGGATGTGGAGAAAAAGAACCCCTGTAAACTACTGATGCACATGTAAATATACAAAGCCATTACAGACATCAATGTGGAAGCTTCTCAAAATTTTTCAAATAGAAACATCATATTAGGCAACTACAGTACTCTTGGGCATGGATCAAAAGGAAATGAACCAGTTCGACAAAGAGACATCTGACCTCTCCTGTTTTTTCATCATTATTGCTATAGCTAAGAAATGAAGACTGGGTTTCAATAAAATGAATGGATCAAAATATGTAGCACATATACACAACGTAATACCATTCAGCCACACAAAGAATAAAATGATGGTTACCAGGGGCTGGGAAAGTAGGAAAAAAGGAGAGGAGGGAAGACATAGATCAGTGTAGGCTGAGTTCTATTCATGTAGGAGGAAGCCCCATTGTGCTATCGCACAGGAGGGTGAGTACCAGCAGCCACGCACTGTGTATCTCAAAAACCTCAAAGAGGGCTGGAGGGATAACTCAGCCGTTAAAGGCTAGGCTCACAACCAAAAGTATAAGAGTTCGGTTCCCAGCACCCACGGCTATCCCTCCAGCTACCTTTTTCGGCTTACGCCGCACACAAAGTTAAAAAGTAATACTGAAAAAAGAAACGAAAACTAAATAAAAAAAAGTTTCATCTCTCAAAAACCTCAAAGAAAGAACTTGGCATGATTTTGCTATAAAAAAAAAAATAAGTGACTCGGGATGTAGATATACTTTTAAACATCTCAAAATGTATACAAGCATTGAGTCATCACATAGTACCTCATTCATATTTTTAAGTTTAGTGTTTTCAAAGGATATTTTGCTAGGTATAGGAGCACAAACTTACAATCCCAGCACTTGGGAGGCTGAAGCAGCATGAATAGGTGTTTAAGAACAGCCTCAGCTATATGAAGCCTGCCTGGGTTACATGAGACCCTGTCTTTAAAAAACTTAATTAAAATTAAAATGCATTTTTCTGACTCTGCTGGCAGTGTACCAGTATGGGTCAGAATCTGCGCACGTCCAGTGCAGTAGGTAATTGTAAGATTTCATATTCGGAATCTATGGTTGTGCTGGGGAAAACACTAAGGAAGGGATCCACACCAAAGTCTACAGTGACATGAGCTATCCAGAAGCTTTTACTTGCACACCCGTCTCTCATCTGAGCTGCAAGTTCTTCAACTCCAAATCTCCCATCTGTGGTTCACCTCTAATTCACCCTGTGACCCACCCATCCCTTACTAGAGACAAGCACCTAACTAGCTCCTGCGATCTGAACCCCACAACTCACTCCTGCTGTTTAGTTATTTAGATAGATAACTAAATCTATCTAGGATGATGATGGATTTTTGTCTCTATCTGATCCATCTGTCCTAAATTCTTCTCCTGATTTTGACACAGAACACATGGAATGTGGGTGTCAAGTCATGTGGTCACCGGGAGGACATTTTGGTAGTAATTTCCATTTGCTGCTCTGTGAAAGTGTGGGAACATATGTGAGAGAAGGTAGGGGTGTGTGGAGATGGAGTCCAGACCAAGACCACAAAAAAGCAGTGAAGGCTACTGTGACAGTTGGAGGACTGAAAAATAGTCCTCAGGTGTAGCTGGCACCACTTCGGGAGCAAAGTTCTCGATTTTACCATTCTAGAAAGAATGTCTGAGAGTCTTATTAAAACTGTCCTCAACAGCACAGTTTTAGAAAAGTTCAGAAACAGAAACCCATGGCCAGGATCTGGAGCCCAGGTTAGCCTGCCAGCTCCAGTATGAGGCAAGTCAATGTCACAGGCAGATGAACTTCTGGAGATCTGAAAGAATGGATGAAAGAAATAGATGTGGGAGCAAGGATGTCCTGTTGGGTCTACCAAATAAACCAGCAACACAAGAATTATGGGCAAAGGGTGCCCCCTAGTGGAATGATCCTCCATTATCCACAGAGCCTTGCTTAGGTTGAAAATCCAGTTCAGACTTGGGCTTTCTATTCCAACATTTACTGAGCCCTAAATGTACATTTTAGACTCTTATATTTTTCTTAGGGGCTTGTTTTCTGAAAGATGAGTTCAAATTAGCACAACAGTGAATACACCTCTGATACAGAGGAAGTGGTGATCAATATGTCTCTATCTCTCTCTCTCTGCCCCCATCCCGTGTGAGTGTGTGTGTGTGTGTGTGTGTGTGTGTGTGTGTGTGTGTGTGTGTGTAGGTGTGTGTTAGCCTGTGTGTAGATTCTAGATATTGAACCCATGTTCTCAGGCTTTATCAACTAAGCTATTTCCTCAGTTCACCATGATTTGCTTTTTAAATATTTTCTTTAGGCACAATCCTCATGAGTTTTTCTGTAACTATTTTGACTAAACTGGTAACTGGCAAGAAAAAAATCTGCATTTAGTAGCTTTGAGCTGGGAAGTCTGACATGGAAAGGAGATTTTAGTTTTCTTTTATATTTATTTGCTATGTTGAATGGCACGTTGAAACAATGTTTTATTTAAAATAACATACTTAATACAAAATAGATTGGACTAATAAAGGGACACAAAGAACATACTAAGATTGGATTTGTGGGGTCAAAATGTGTGAGTAATAAAAACTTGGGCATCATAGAAGCAAGGGTATTTGTTTCAAGGGTGTGGTCCAGTGGTTCTCAACCTCCCTAATGCTGCGACCCTTTAATACAGTTCCTCTTGTTGTGGTGACGCCCAAGCATAAAATTAGTTTTGTTGCTACTTATAATTATAGTTTTGCTATTGTCATGAATCATAATGTAACAACCTGTGTTTTCTGGTGGTCTTAGGGGACCCCTGTGAAAGAGTCATTCGACCCCCGGAGGGGTAGCGACCCACAGATTAAGAACCACTGGTGTAGTTGGAGCTGCCCATTCAACAATTCAGCCCATGCTTATCTGAGCTCTTGGAATTTCTCTGGGTTTTAACCCAACCCTACTTTGGGAAGTGACACTGTCATCACATTCAACCTGCTTTTCACTATGCGTCTTGGGGAAAGAAAAGCTAATGCCTAGGAAATGTTTTCATGTTGCTCTGCTTCACGTTTTACTGAAGAGTCCACCTGGACTGTGTTGCTCAGTTTTCGCAGCTGCCTTCTGGGAGGGCCACATTGCTGCCTACATCCAACAGAATCAGAAACAGATGTGTAGGAGGATAAAAGACATCTTCCAAGCTCACCATGGAGGTCTCAAAGTCTGTGCTCTGAGCTCTCCAGGGCCTGGGGTTAAGCTACTGTATGGCTCAGGCAGAAAAAGAACAAATGGTCAATCAGGGAGAGTCCACTTCTTGCTAGGGCAACGGGGTGAGGGAGTCGGGGTAGAAAGGAAGAAGGCTGGGAAAGGCTCACAGAGGAGCAAGGGCTGGAAGGCAGGGCAGTCTGTGTATGTGGTTTTTGTTCCAATGCGCCAGCAGAGCCTACCACTGTGTCTCTACTGCAGGTGCAGTACAAGGTTCTGCCCTGGGTCATGTTGGCCACTTGTAGCCTCAGCTCCGTATCGGTGACTCGTGTGGCCAGATAATCAGCACCGGGGAGAGATTTGACTTCTTTGTCCCCAGAACTCCCCAGAGTGACCAGCCACTGTAGTGGCTGTTGGAGATCCTGCTGGTACCAGCTCATCCAGGGGTACTGGGAATTCTTCAAGATACAGCGCAGGGTCACAGCTTGACCACGTGCTACCAGACGCCACCTTGGCTTCTGCTCCAGCAAAGTTCCTGTGGAGTCTGAAACACAGACAAGCCGAGATGAAAGCAGAGAGACTGGGAAACCCCATGGGTAGCCAACTGAGCTAAATCCTGAAGAAAATCTGTTGAGTTACTCAGACACAAGGCTGCTGAGACCAGAAGCCTTGACCTGGGAGAGAAACTGTGCCAGATGACTGTCTTAAAGGAGTTAGGGGCAGCTTCTCTGGTTGCTAAGCTAAAGCGGCCTGCCTCTTTTCCTCTCCCTCCACTCTCTGGCTTCCTCATTGGCCATCTGACCTGTAGTCACAGAAGCCGTGAGTACACAGAGGCACAAGGTGGAAAACTGCCACATCCCTGACCCCTCAGGCTCTCTCCAGCAGAACATCAGGCAAGAGAAGAGGGTCCAAACCAGTACAGTGGCAATCAGAAGCTTAAGTCCTGGGGCTGACGTTCGAAGGGCGTGACTTCCTCAGGAAACCGACCATAGCTCATCTTTACTCTAAAATGCAAACCTCAAGCTGAAATTTTACACCCTTTCCTGTTATCTGAGCTTTGCTCTCTCTCCCACACCCCTGCACATCACACGCTCACCAAGTAACTCAGTGAGTGGCTGGGCCCGCCCTATACTGTCTCAGTGGTGATCAAATATTCCTGGAAGTGGTTTGAGTTTGAGACTCAGCTCTTTCAAGGGACTGAACTCTCTCCGTATAATCAAGTAATGGTAACAGAACTGAGCAAAGACATCTCTCACCTCCAAGCTTCAACTGCAGGCGGGGGCTACTGCAGGGTCATATTAGGGAGTAGGACAGAGGACATCCATCTCCAATTATCGGTCTGACTCTGGGAATACAAATGCAAAATAGAAATAAGAGCTTTGTCCAGAGTCAAAGAAAAGATTCCCCTTTTGGGAACTGACCTGGCAGAAATAAAGAAATTCTAAAGAGACACCTGTGCCTTTCACTCTGACTATCAGGCTATTGAAACAAAGAACCCCAAAGAAATGGGAATTTCCCCAGGAATCACATTCTGGGAGAAGGAAAAGACACCAGTCAGAGTGGGAATTTGTCTCCTGAAATGAGATTTCACAAAACTCTAACAAACCTAAGGAATGAGGTCGATGGTGGCCACGACCACAGTTTTACCTAGACTGCTTACCCTTGGCTTCCTCAATATCAATCTTACTTCAGAAACACCAACTGACTTGTGGAGTTCCCTGGGTATCTTCTTCCCTTTCCCAATGTGTCCACACTAAATAAACCTTTTTCTACTTTTCGTTATTGATTTGGCTCTTTTGATTGTCTTCTTGAGGACTGGTGAACAAAGCCAGCTTGGGGTACTGGCTTTTGTCATTTCTCAAACCTGGCCCAAATGGCTAACCGAGGTGCCTATTTAACTTAAGTGGACCTGGCCTCCAGGTCTCCCAGCATCCCTTAGTCCCTACCTGTTACAGGGTATGACTGGGATTTCACACCCCCTAAACTTTTCCAGCCCAGGGGCTGGGCTACCCTTCCCCAGCTGCCCTTCCCTGTATAATCCAGCCATTTTTGCTATCCAGCCTTTCCCCCTTTTGTCTACCCGTCACCCTCCCCCCTTCACCTCCCCTCACAAGGCCAGGCTCAGGGTCCTATTCACTCTGGACTCTCCCACATGTCTCTGCCTCTGGCTATGCACTCTCTATCTACAATAAAAATTTTCTCCATATTTTGGGAATAGCTGTGTCCTTTTTATTTCTTTTATCATTCAGCTTTGCCCCCCCAAGTTTGATAACATCCTCACCCTTTATTTTTCTAGAGCACTTACTTTCAAAAAAATGAGTTGTCCAAGCCTCTATAAATCTTTTTTTTTTTTTAAATTGAATAAGTTCCCTATGAGCCGTAAGAGCCAGGAAGAAGAGGATACAGATGAGATTCTTTGGGTCTGAAGTCACTGGCTCCTAGCTTTTCCCAGAAAGCCCTGTTTCTTTCCTCAGGCAGAGCTCTGATTAGCCAAACAGACTCCAGGACAAAAGACCCTGGGCTCTTCTCAGTTTGTCTATCCTAGCTCCCTCCTGACCTCTCTTCAGCCTAATCCTCTAATGAGATTGGGATCTGAGTGTCTCCTATACTCCTGTTATCTCCCTGGCTAACCTTCCTGCCTCTCAAGGTCAGTCCCTCCAGGGATCTGCCTTGTCCTCTCTTATCTTGCCCAGCTTGCACTACTGAGCCAGGTTAAGCCTCTTGCTTCCAGATCAGATGGCTAGCTAGCTCCTCCTGGCCTCTGCAGGACCAGTGTTGGAGGTCATGGTTGCCTCCTAGGGACTTTTTTCCACCACCACCCCCAACTACATTCTAATCACTACTCAAGCGCACACAACAGTAGCTAACAGCTTTAGCAGTTTTGAGCTCAATGGGCAATTCAAAGACTTTTCATGCACATAGGAAAAATATACACAGCTCAGAGAGTGTCGTCTTGCCCTTCTTTGGACTGGACTTCTGTGTGTAGGTGTGTTGTCCAGCACATGTCTTCTCTGCTGTCTAGTAAAGGTCAAGCAATCGGGGTCTGGTAGAAGGATGTATCTGCCCAGGTCAGCTATGTCAGACACCAGGAGACAGTAGGCCTTGCAGAGTGTGGATTTCTGTTCTTTCTGAGAAGCAATGAGTGAGCAAATGACACTAATGTCCTCCACCATGACACAGGGTCATGGCAAAGCACTCAGGGGCTTGCTGTCCTGGGAGTGTCCATGGCTTGAGGAAATCATGGACATTGTGAGGATGAGGCAGGCTTCCTTGTAGTCTCCCCATGCCCCTGGACCGCTGACAGGGTGTGGGGCCATGACCTGCAGGTGCTACCCCCTCTCACTCACTTATCTAAAAATTAAATGAACAAATGGTCATGCAATTAAGCAGGCCTGGCGTTTCATTCTGCTCTGTTATTCAAATCTTCCCTTCGTGCTTTCTGTGGTTTCTATAACACGAAGGCACTTGAAAGAGCGGAAACTTGGCTGAGCCTGGAGGGCAGACTAACTGAATTGTGATTTCTTTGAAAAGCGACTCATGTTTGTGGCTACAGGAGGGGTATGCACAAAGCATCCCACGGGCCAATTCATAGCCGTTTCTCCTTTTCTCCCTCTTCATACCCCCTCCCCCATTCTCGCTCCTCTGTATGAATTGCTGAAATCAAAGCTGCCCCAGGCTTGTCCATCTAGAAGTCTTTCACCTCTAAATGTTCTTCCTAGGATTAGTAGCACAGGTTCCTTACAGGAGACTGAAACCACAGCTTTCCTCTCAGGCTAAGACCTCCCTCATGCACTGTACCACTTCCCCCATTCTACATGTGGACACGGTGGACAAAGGCCATAAAACTGGAGAAGGGGAGGCTGCAGTCCAGAAGAATATTATTTACTAAGGGTATTAGTGGGGTAGATGTGGAGGAATGGGGTGGGGCTGAGAACCTCCTTGACTCTACAGGTTCTCACTGAGCATGACCCTGCCAAGGAGTAGGTATGGAAGACTGCATGACTCTCTTGATAATTCCATTAGGTCCCTGACTTAAGGTGAGACAATCCCACTCTGTGTCCTCCCTGGATACTTCTGGCTCAAGTTATGTAAGTGGCACCACTCTGTACACAGTAGATAATCAGATCAGAAGAGGCCTATTCTTTCCCTCCTCCATGGCACAGTGCCAAACACAAGTAGAGATACATATAAGTCCAGAGCTCTTTAGTGTCATTCTTCAGGGAAGATGCTCCGGGCCCTGGCAGCCATGGCCTGTGTTCTCCTCTTCAGACTTTTCTTACTTTTGGTCCTGGTAGCCTTTTCACAAGGCAAGCGCCTGGGCCCTACATCTCCCCTCCGTTATTCCAGGTTTCTGGATCCTTCCCATTCTGTTTTTCTGCGCTGGGACTTTGACTATGAGACTGAGATCATCACATTTGAGCTCCAAGTTCAAACAACTGGCTGGGTTGGCCTGGGCATCACAAATCGCTACACCTTTGTAGGAAGTGATCTGGTAGTTGGAGGAGTCCTTCCTGATGGCAATGTCTACTTCTCGGTAAGTCTGGGAATGAGTAACTTCTTGAGTTAGGTTGAGGATGGCTCCATATCCATTGTCTCCAACTTCCACCCCGAAGATGAGCTCCTTCTCTGGGTTGAGGAAGGCTGTGTCTAGAAAAGAATTTCATTCTCCAACATACCCAAATGCACTGAATGCCAGTTGACTGTTTATCTCTCCCTACAAAGATGTTCCACCATTGTAATTTATGTCATTTAGGCCACTTGTCTGTTAAGACTTTTAAGAAAGAAGAAGTTTTATACTGAAATTGTCTAATATGACTTATCTGCTATGAGCAGAGGAAAAGCAGATCACTGGAGAAAATTCAAAGCTATAAGAGAAAGTCTCTGTATTCAATATCCTTTAGGCCCACTCAGGTAGACGTCAGTATGAAATTGTCTGATAATAGCAATGATAGCAAGAGAAGCAATTTTAGCATTGTTCCAAACTATCTTCATTTTAAAGCCCATAGCATCGCTGAGGTGGATTACTATAACCCAGTAGTCCTCAACCATGCTAAAGCTGCAACCCTTTAATAAAGTTCCTCATATTGTGGTGGCCTCCAACCATAAAATTATTTTTGTTGAAACTTCATAATTTAACTTTGCTCCTATTACAAATTTTAATGTAAATATCTGGTATGCAGCCCCTGTGAAAGGGTTGTTCAATGTCCAAAGGGGTCACAACCCACAGGTTGAGAACTGCTGCTATAATCTGCCTTTTACAAATGAAGTAATAGCTCACTTGTCTTCCAAAACTTACACATTCTAAGCTCACAATCACTGTTCTGAACTGCACTTATACAGGATAGTGCTCATCACAGTATAAGAAAATGTATAATCAGAGCCTCATTCGAGAAAGGATGAAATGTACTGATCATTCAGAGAACAAGCTGGCCTCTAAAGGCTTCAATGAAGGATTATTAAATTTTATGAAGCTAAGATTTAAAGTGAGAATAATAAAGTCAGGTGGTGAAACTCCAGCAGACATGCTCTGTCCCCTCTGAAAACACACCCATTTGTGCAATGAAAGTAGCTGGCTTCTGTCATGTTAGCATACACCTGCTGCCCCAAATCCTAATTGCTTGGGATCCTGGTTCTTACTTCTTAATGATGACTGAACCCCAGGATCAGCACCTTCTGGACGAAGATACTCTAGAACAGGATGGGAGCCAGGATGCTGAACTACTAAAGCTCACAGAAGATTCTGTCTCTACTACCATGCGCTTTTCCAGACCCTTCAGATCCTGTGACCCACATGACCATGACATTACGGTAATATGTGGAAAAGAGAAAAATTTTAGCCACAAACAGCTTCCCCAAGGAAGATATAGTCACCTCAATTCATGCAGCCAGTCACAAATTCATGGGACTATTATCCTTTAGTCTTCCTGGGTACTGTCCAATTGTATCACTTCTTGAATACTCTAATCACTAATTGGCATGGTCCCACCCAATGGCTAAGTGCCCGTTCTCTTCTCCCCCTCTTAAAGGACTCTAACCAATTCCATTGAACATCAGTGTTTGGATTTCAAGATTGGTTCAACCCTCTTATTCTGCAGGTGTAAAATAGCCGAAGAGGAAACATGGAAAGGGGTTAAGCATGACAAATGAGTTAACCTCAGAGATAGAACTAAAGCCAAACTATTCTTGTCTCAAGTTATTCTCATTCCACTGTGTAGATACGTGGTACATATAGAACCCTGGCTGTAGGTATATACAAGGTGCTTTTGAGTATTGGGCCTTCAATGCTCATGGTACCCCTAGAGTGACACCATGAGGGTCCTGGCTGCCTATGGCCTAGATGACGTACCAAAGATGAATCGGGAGCGTACTTTTGTCAAATCAATCTTCTTGCTACAAATGCTACAATACGACGATGAAGATGCCCCTGAGGACACCATTATCTATGATTTGAAGATCAGTAATGTAAGACCTCCACCACACCACCCGTCTGCCTCCACCTGTTTCTATCCCCCTGCTCATTCCAGACCCCTCACCTTGCACCCACCCAATACCCACACATTCCTTAGAATAAGTGACTATGAGTCCCCTTGGCTCTGTGAGGAGTACCAATCTAGCCCTAAAGTGAACCCTGCTCCCTAGACTGTCCACTCCCCTGCTTCGGGGGATCCTCATTCCCATTCCCCCCAGCTTGTGTGCACCTTTCCCCAGTTCCTCATTCCAGAGGATGACACCACGTATGCCTGCACCTTCCTCCCGCTCCCTATTGTCAGCAAGAAGCATCACATCTACAAGGTATGTGAACCAGATGATAAAGTCTGCCAAGGCAGGCACTGGAGCAAAGTGATGGGCATGTTGGAGTCAGGAGGTTCAAGAGGTTGCTGTGAGGAGAAAACAGGGAAGGAGATGTGGGGTAATGCCAGGTGGATTTTTGTAGGGTGGGAAACTACAAAATGTTCTAGGCCAAAACTATAACTGCCAACACTATTTTGTTTATGTGGATGAGATTCTGACAGAGGATAGTAATTAATAAGATTTTGAAAAGAACAATTTCAGGTCCCGTCAAATGATCCAGAATGGTTCTCTTTTAGCAATGGGGTGGTCAGAGCAAGGAAGTGTTGTGGCCATGCAGTCAGAAAGAAAGAAAATTCAAGCCAGAATAAACACAAACTCATTCATCTACTTTGCATTTAAGTGTTTTTAATTTAGGTCGAGTACAAGAATATAATTTGATAAGTTTCACAATATAGGGGGCCATTTTCAAAAAAATGGATTTCAAAGGGTGTGAATACATACATGCAAATTGTAAATTGACTGAGGTCACTAAAGAAAGTCAGAACCCTTGGAGTGCCTCTGGTAACTTAGCACTGTGAGCTGTGCTCCTAAGAAACGAATATAAAGAGATGAAGGTTGAGAGAAGAGTCCAATAGAGTTTAGAGAAGATGATATATTTCAGGGAGAGGGACAGATGAGGAGGAACTCAGAGAAGTGGAGAATGGCATAGCTATGGCAGGGGCTAGAGGAGGAATGGGGAGGATAAGAATGTGACAGAAAATCTTGACTATTGTCTACCTTCCCTTCTCTGTTCAGTTTGAACCCATGCTGGTGGAACGCAACGAGACAATGGTGCATCACATCCTCGTGTATGCATGTGGCAATGCTAGCGTGCTCCCCACAGGCATTGGGGAATGCTACGGGTCAGATCCCGCCTTCTCCCTCTGTTCTCATGTCATCGCAGGATGGGCTGTTGGGGGCCTTGTGAGTCCTGAGATGGAGGCATTTTGTGACAAGGGGGTGCATGCTGTTAGGCAATGGGCTAATGGGAGACCCGGGGGTATAAAAGTTCTGAAAGAAATTTTAGAAAACCAGGGAAGAGCCAGAGGTTGGATCCAAGCATCTTGTCTCTAGGCTTTCAAACATCACCGCCATGTTTTTCCTCTCTCCACAGAGTTATCAGTTTCCAGATGATGTAGGTATCTCTATTGGAACCCCCTTGGACCCTCAGTGGATTCGACTGGAGGTTCACTACAGCAATTTTCAGAACCATCCTGGTAAGTATCCAAGGGACTTACAGGAAAGCAGCTGGTGGAGTCAATTGGTATTTCTGGATATGGGGGAACATGTGGCATACATGTTGGATCCTTTTAGTAACAGACTATTCCAGCTTTCCTGAACATTGTGACCTATTCCCAACCTCTGAGGAGAGTATTTCTTTCTATTCCAGGTATATATGATACCTCGGGGATGCGGTTGTACTACACTTCACACCTTCGCAAATATGACATGGGAGTCCTCCAGCTGGGCATCTCGGTTTTCCCTATTCACTTTATACCCCCGGGTGCTGAGGCTTTCTTGTCCTATGGGCTATGCAAAACAGAGAAGTTTGAAGAGGTGAAGCTGAGAGACATACATTCTTTGAGGTTCCTTGTTCTCCAGCAGATTTCTGGTCTAATCACTAAACTCACAAGCCTGAGCCACAGATTTGAAGAATGATTGAAGCCTGGTGTTCAGAAAGAAAGTGACGAGCAGAAATCATGCAAGAGAGGAATGAGTCAGGGTTTTAGAGGCAATAAGGACAGGGTGGGTCAGTGGAAATAGGAGAGTGAGTGGGAACATCTGGAAGGGGGGTGGACAGAACATAGTGGTCAGAAGGCAGGGAAAGAGGCGAGCATGACAGAGCCAATGAAGTCATGACTTCAGAGCAGCAGTGGCTGCATGCAATGAGCCAGCTCAAGACTGGTCCTATCACCTGTCAGCCATGGATCAGGGCTTATGGGGTGGGTCCTGCCTTTCCCTGCTAAGCTAATGACTTCTGATGGGTCATCGGAGAAAGACGGTCATTATGTATTCACTGAAGACCCCAGCTGGATCCAACAGATAGTCCCAAGCCCATGGTCACACAGGTGATCCTGGTTAAACTCAATGAGTACCCCACAAAAAAAAAAAAAACAAATATCAAAATTGTGAATATGAGACAGGGGCTTGTAGGGAAGAGGGTGAGTATTAGGGTTAGCAAGGAAATTAGAATGGGGAATATATCAGAATACACTTCATACATGAAATTGTTAAAGAAAAACATCAATAAAATTTAAAGACAAAAAATTAAGAGAGCAACTCTCAATCAGACCAAGAAGAAGATGGTATCAAGCATGAGGAAAAGAAAAATAAAGCTAGAGGTCATAGTTCTTGACCAATCCGGTATGCCTTCTCTGTGTTACAGATGAATGGGGCCCCAGTACCCGACATATACGTATATGGCTACCTGATCCATACCCACTTAGCTGGGCGCTCCCTGCAAGCTGTGCAATACAGGTAACAGAAAGACTAAAACCTTTCCTTCTGTGTATGGGAACAGCTACAGATTCTGCATATTATATCTGGCTGAGAATGAGTAGCTGGACTAGAGATGAGTGGAAGAGGCTGTGGAAGAAGAATCTTTTGTGTTTATTTCATGGGCTATTTGCATTCACAGGACAAACCCACATACTGCATCTTTAATGGTTGGGCCTCATTGCTTCATCTTCTCAGTTCTGCCTTTCTGTTCTTCTCTCCCTCTAGAAATGGAACCCAACTCCAAATAATATGCAAAGATTACTCTTATGACTTCAATCTGCAAGAGACTCGAGATTTACCTCATCCTGCAGTGATCAAGCCGGTGGGAACCTGAGAGGGGGCAATGGCTGGAGCAAAGGGGGAAGCAGGATCATAGCTCATTGTTAGCCCACAAAAGTTTAAGGCTGTACCAGTTCCTCTTTGACTTACCCTTGGCTCCCATGTCTCACTGTGAATAGGGGGATGAGCTGCTGATAGAATGTAACTACCAGACGCTGGATCGTGACTCCATGACTTTTGTAAGTGTCTTTCTCCACAGCGATGTCAATGACTATGACTATAGCCCGAGAAGAGAGATGCATCCTGGCTTTAACTATCTAATAACTGATTGTTTCAGCTTATGCCTTTTTCTCTTCTGTGAGACTTTTCACGTTCTTAACTTCCATGCATCCAAGATAGGGAGAGATTCCCTACACTTTCTGTCACTGACCCATGAAGACCATGAAAGGATGTGTTATGGTATCTCTGTCTCTCACCTCCTTCAGGGAGGGATTTGAGCTGGGAAGAGGTCTTGAAGCACACGAGATGCTGTCCTGCCTACAACTATCAGACAACAGGGTCAAGCTGTCAAATTATTTGCAGGTCAATTAGAGAAGGGAATAGATTGGGATTTGTTATATGTAATCAACTAATTTGTCATCAAATAAATTATTATCAAAAGACAGTAAGATGCTACTGGAGTTCATTGACTAGGCAGATGAGAGAGTACAAGATACATATTATAGTATACTATATTATACTATGTTACGTTATATTATATTAATTATATTATATAAACAAATGATATGGAGCTGTAGAGAGAGAGAGAGAGAGAGAGAGAGAGAGAGAGATTGCAATACAGGCAGGTGAATGTCTGACACTAAGTGCAAAGCAGGGAGTCTACTCCAAACCAAGGTGGGGTGGGGGGTGTAGCAGTGGAGATGTAGAGAACAAGGGAGATATGTGGAGTGTTTTTTAGAAACAATATCAATACTTGTTCCATGACTGGAAATAGAAGAAAGGAAAGGAAGAGGTGGTAAGGCACAGAGAGCTGAACTCTTGTGTTTGGGAAGAGAAAGAGCTCTCTGGAAGAGTGACAGCCTTTACAATTTGTTGCTTGCCTTTTCCCTCTCTGCATGCTTTTGTATCCTTGTCTCTCCCTCTCTCACCTTCTCCAGGGAGGTGCCAGCACCATTAATGAGATGTGCCTCGTCTTCTTCTTCTACTATCCCAGAATTAACATCTCCAGTTGCCTGGGATACCCGGACATTATCTATGTAACCAATGAGTTGGGGGAAGAAGCATCAGAGTAAGTCATTCTAGAAGCTAAAACCCACAAGTGTGGGAAGAGACCTTGAAAGGACCTGGGGAAGGAGCAAAAGGAGTCTCATTCATTCCTCCTGGGCTGGTGAGCTAGGAGCCCTCAGTGGGTGGTCACTCATCCCCTGCAAATCCTCACCCTTGCTCCTTTTAGTGTTGGTTCAAAAAGCTCTGAACACAAGAGTTTTGTAAGAAAGCTTCTGTGTCAGTAAGGGCATTCAGAGGAGCAGATGACAACTGACCCTTGAAAGTCAGATCCCTTATGTACAAATTACTATCTTTCCAGCTGCACTTAAAAACCCTTAACACTCATGTCCCAACCTTTAAGTAAGTGCCCACTCTTATAGACTCTAACAAGAGGCAGGGAAAATATCTTTCTTAACAGGCACACACGTACAACTTAAGGGTAATTGCAAGTTCTCTGAAGTCAACCCAACCCACCTTTCAGACCCTATGTCATCTACATGAAGATCCACATCTGTAAAGAACAGCCTCTTTTCAATGTCCTAAGTTCTCTCTGATGTGTTTCTCTTACCAAACTTACTAAGAATGACAGCTTAGTTCTACAATGTTCCGTGTAGTTTATACCAGCATGGAATACATGCTAGCAAAAATGAAGGTGCTTTTCAACCTATTTTGTGAGAGAGGCATGTCAATGCCGATTACTGCCATGTCCCTGTCCTAACTCTACTATTCACAGGAATCCTATGGAGAACCTGATGGTCCTGAATAATGTTGAATGGACTCCAGAGAACATTAAGAAAGCTGAGAAAGCTTGCAAGGAGTCCCAGCAGACAGTGTTGATTAAGACCATTGATGTGCGTGTCCCAGGAGAGACCACCCTGCAAGGCTGGGGGATGGTATTAGGCAAGAGGAAGGAAGATGGAAGCAAATGACAATAATAGGAACCCTGAATTGGGGGAGGGAGCCTGAGGACGCAGAAAGGCAAGCCATCGCTGCCCTGCATTGTAGAGGTGGTTGGAGCATCTCAGTTAGCCTGGAGGATGGGGATGATAGAGTAAAATTTCAAGGAAAGAAACAAAAAGAGGAATATTTCTGAATTTGCTCATTTGTCCCATCTCCTGCAGGAGGAAGTAGAAAATACAACAGGTTGGATTCCTGATATTATCCCAACTCCTCGAGGGCCGTGCTTAGAGTCCTCTGGAGGTAAAGTGGAACCTCAGGACAAGACCCCTGCAGGCTTCAGGGCTGCACCAATGGCCCTCTCTGGCTCCAGTACTGCTACCCTGAGGAACCTGACCCTGGTTGCTATCTTGTTCCTGCAGGGTACACTCTCATGGCTCCTTGCCATGCTGCAGACTGGGGTATGATTCTGTCTCCTTATGCCACCTACTCCCTTATCATGAACTATAGAAACAACCCCCGATATGACCCCTCTAAATGACCTCTGTCTGTGCCACTTCCCATAAACCAAACCATGACACTGAAGGCTCTCAGGTTTTGTCCACAATCACTGTTCAAGTTATTCTTAAAGCTTCAGAACCATTGATATGATCACATGTTTTCTAAGAAAGTCTGCCTCCAAGTCTGAGTGTTAGATGATGGATTCACTCTCTAAGAATTCTAGTGTGCTGCTTTCTCTCAAATTGATGCTATGAGTAGGATGGGACTTGAGTGCAAAGGGAGAGCATTGTAAATCCCTTGGCATGTGCATGGCCATGGGAAAAGCTATTACTTCTCTTTTCTAATGGTATTTTGTAACCAGTTCTTTCTGAGGCAATGTGAGTATGCTATAAGTATACTCAAGAGTAAAGGGCAGTTTTTCATAAAGGCAGGGCTTCTGTGTACATAGGGAGAAATTTTTGAAGTATCACATTAAAGAGAATTCAACTTGCTTCCTTTGGCAATCTCTTTCATTTGTGTCTTTGGCCCATGAGAAGCAGCTTGGAAGCCTCTTGAATTGCCAGGTTAAAGCATCTGGAGGCTTTGGTTGCCCTTAATATAACATTTTTATTGCTTATCCATCCATATGTTATATTGTCACTTGTAAATCATTCAGTGTGAAGAGCCTGTCTGGGAAGGATTGTGAATTGAGCTGTGAGGATAAGTAAAAACCAAAGTAGAGAAAAGTAAGTCCTTAGCCCCACGGTGTAATGCTTGTTCAAGAACTCTATGGGGAAAGAATAGACTAAGTACAAACATTTTGTGGAGTTTTAATGGTTACTAAAGTCCAAGAGAGTGTGCTTACCTGGGATTTTCTGGATGCCATGTCTATTAATTCTTAATTAGATTTCAAATCACTTTGCCAATCTATGAGTTGCCTTGCTCATTATGTCCTTGAGAAGTCACCCCTACTCTGGTTGTCCCAAGGTGTTCGGCAGGATCTTAATGCCCTGGTGATCAAGAATATGATTTCAGTAAACTCTATTCACAGCTCCAATGGCTGTGATCTGACATTGTAGCCCTGCTTCCTGATGAAGTGGTCCCTCTTCTCACACTGGTGACATGTACTGAGGACACGAGAAGTAATAAGGTCATCATTTCGACTATCATTGCTGGAATATGACAATATTTAAGGCTCTTCACTCTCAGAATCTAAAAAAAAAAAAAACCCTCAACTCCTGGACTGATTAGAACTACTTCCCAGCCTCATGACATATAAGACATGTAAGCAGAAGGTCTTGTCACCTTAATCAAAGAGTTTTCCAAGTTCATGTCTCTTTAGGACATCTTCCTAAACAACTTATAGTATTACCCAACAATTTAGTAGGCAAACTTTTGAGGAAGTACTGAATCAGATGCTGATGTCCTGGAAGGTGTGGTATAAGGAAACTTTTATGGGTTGGAAATTTTAAACCATTTTAAACCCTTAAAATCAATTTTTCGCTGGTGTATTTATCTAGGCACACTGAAAGATCTTAGACTTTGAATTCAAGGGGGATACTGAGTCAGATTATCTTTTTGTGAAAGAGATTATTAAAAGGTATTAATACCATAAAAATATAATGAACAGAGAGCATTATGGCAGGGGTTGAGGCAAGCTCCTTCTTATAGGTTTCAGAGGAGGAACTTTATGTCTCAGAGTTGATGCATAATGATACATTTGCAGCTTGTAGTCAGGGCATCTCTGATTCTAGGAGGAGAGTAGTGGGAGGGCGATCCTGAATTCCTAGCAAGGGAGAAAGGAATCTGGTTAACTTGTGATTTAGAGGATGTGAGGTAAGTAGGGAGAAAGGACACATTTAGTTAAGGTGTACTGATTATAGGGGTGGAGGATGTACCATTAGTAGCCCTCTGATGTTTTGAAACTGGTAGCCTGGGCCTGGAAACTTCCTTGAAGAAGTGAGAGCTAGAATATCAGCTATAACCCAAACCTGGCAAAATCCCTGATCTCATTGACCAGCAAGTCTACCTAATAAATGAGCTTCAATTCCATTCATTGAGAGATCTTGTCTTAAAAATGGGTAGAAAGTGACTAAGAAAGACTCTATATTGACTTCTGGCACCTATACACATGTTCTCACATGCACATGTGCACAAATACAAAAACGTGACCATATTCATACACACCACAGACAACAAAACAAACTTTTCAGCCCACAGCTCACTCCTGTTTGTACTTCCAAAAACGCAGCACATTGGACATCTCTTAGTGAAGGTACAAGTAAAGGAGTCCATGACAGTCTATGGAGAAAATCACGAGTCTTGTTTGGGTAGGAAGGATCAGGCAAGAGCCATGTAATCCCTAACATAAAGTCACATCTTTGTTCAAATGGCTGTAACTTGTGTGTCAATTCCAAGAGACAAGATTAACTGACGAATCTATGTTTTTCATTTGGAGTGCCATTGAATGGTCCAAAACATAGTACCTCTGTTATGGCAGGTCAGAAAACCAGAAAGATGTTTGTAGAAGAGGAAAGGGTGTTCAAGTAGAGTAAATCAGAGATTCTGGGGCTGTTGCTGGTATAATTGACCAGTACATGAGGATGGAAATAAGAAACACTGTAAACATAAGGAAATGGCTTTCAAATTCTTTGGCCTCAGGATCTCGTTATATTCAAAACCAGTGAAGATACCATGTCACCTATGTGAATTATACCTGTTAATATTTACTGCATGCAAAATTTAATTTGAGTCACTCACAAAATATTTTATAAATATTTATTTTCATTAATTAAAAATAACAATATGTCTACTACATGTTAACATAAATAATATCTTTGTGAAAAATAAGCATATTTTCAAAGGCAAAAACAAAGAGTAAAAGAATGGTATTGTGTTATTTTTTTTGAGTCTTTTCAATATCTTTTTTTTTTGTTTGTTTGTTTTTTGTTTTTTTTTTGTTTTTTGAGACAGGGTTTCTCTGTGTAGCTTTGCGCCTTTTCCTGGAGCTCACTTGGTAGCCCAAGCTGGCCTCGAACTCACAGAGATCCGCCTGGCTCTGCCTCCCGAGTGCTGGGATTAAAGGCGTGCGCCACCAACGCCCGGCCCAAGGCGAGAATTCTACCACTGAACCACCAATGCAGGCTTCAATATCTTAATAGAAAAGTACCTTCATGCTGCTTCTATATTTATCTATTGCAATGCCACATTGAGTCTCTGAAAAATGCCGCTATGTACCAGTAAGAGAACAAGAGTGAAAGAGACAAATAACAACTTGGTATTATGAAAACAGATTTTATGCTATTAACTTTACAAATGGTCTGGTGCACCCACAGATTTCATAACTACATTTTGAGAATACTGCTCAAACCTTCAATAGTGCCCAACTGGCTAGATTGGGTAATATCCGTGAGTCTACTGATGAGGGTAGGGAGTGGTCTAAGAAAGCAGTAGATCAAAGGTTTGTGGTAAATTTGTTTATGAGAGATCAGAACCATTCAGGAAATTCTAACATACCAAAGGAGAGACTTGACAATAAAACAACAAAGTAAAAGAATAGGTGACCAGAAACTCCAATCCAAGATAGACTGCCTCCTGGGGTTCTGACTATAGTCATACCTTGGTCTGGGAAAGTTCCAGTTTGTAGGCACATTGGAGTTAGTCATTTGCGGGAACAGTGAGGACCCAAAACTAGCTCAGAAGAGTGATTTCAAAATTCTAGAGCAGTTTGGTATCTATAAACAGAAATTCAAGTAGGACTATTCATAATCCAAAAATATAACACATTTTTAGTACCAACATAATGCCACGGGTGGAAAACTTCACACCATGAACTTTGTTTTATGCATATAATTACTTTAAGTGTTATATGAAATAATCTTCAAGCTCTATATGTCTAGAGTATACATGAACATTAATGAATGTCATGTTTGGATTTGATATATCACTCTGTAGATGCAAATGTTCAGACATGTGGAATATAAAATCTGAAACAGTTTTAGTACCAAGCATTTGAGATGAGGAATGCTCAATATGCTTATGGAAGCTGTAGAGTGTTACTAACACTTATCAGAGTAATTATTGCAAGGCTAGGGAACTTATATTTTTAGCACCTGTAATCTTATATTTATTTTCTTTGATAGTAAAATTGCTATGTCTATAATTTAATGACTTCAGTGATTGAAGTTGAGATTTATAAACATCTATAATAGTAGCAGTTTCAATGTCTATACCAATAGCTGGAATCCCCTTGAAAGCAAACATGGTGTTAGTAAGCTACAGCATAGACAGGCAAAATAGAATATTTGGGGGGAAAAAGTCCATAGGGAAATAAAATGCTACTTTTCACATCATTAGTTAAAGAATCTACAATGTAAACAATTGCTGCCAGTGAGGTAACTTCAGTATCATTAGGGCTCTCCAGTATTGGATTAGGCCTTGTAACCACCCCCCCCCCAAAAAAAACAGTAGGAGTGGGACTATTTTACAAAACCTATAGCAATAGTACTATAATAATACAGAATGTGGTGTGGTATGGTAATGAGGTACTAATATTGCAAGTGAAGGCCATGGATATATGTGTCATTTAACCAATAAGGCCATAGGTATAATAGCAAACATAGGAAATAATTGTGGTATGCATTCAGACATCAGGATAAGCATGTATACCTTCTTTGGTAGAAGTTATGTTTGGAATGGATACATCCTTATACATCTACAGTTGTTGTCATTCTTGGAGTATCTATATCTAAGATGAGACAAAAACTATTTTTGGAAGCCAAGCTATGCTAAGTACATTCACAAATTTTTGTAGCAATGGCTCTCAACCTTTGAGTCTCCACCTCCACAGGGGACACATATCAGATAATATACATTATTATTAATAACAGCAGCAAAATTACAGTTGTAAAAGAGTAACAAAATAATTTTATGGTTGCAGTTGACCACAATATGAGGAACTCTGCTAAATGGTCACAGAATTAGGAAAGTTGAGAACCACTGTACTAGACCCTTGAGTGACATCATGGCACCACAGTAGAGTTTGCAGCATCCACAGTACTTGTTTCAATAGCTGTCACTGTGACAGGGACCACAGTACTAGTGCTAACAATTGAAGTACTGTTAAGGAAAGGTGCAATTGTTGGAGGAAGTATAGTACTAGTTGCATTGTCAACAGTACTTTCTTCAGTAGTTGTGGTTGTGAAATTAATTACATCACTAGTGTCAGCAGTGGGACGACTGGTAGGGAAATTTGTAGTTATAGCAGGAAATGTGGTATTAGTTGTGTTGTCAACAGTGGTTGTTTCAGGAGTTGTGGTTGTGAAAGGAATCACATCACTAGTGTTAGCAGTAGTAGGACTTGTTGGGAAAGGTGTAGTTATGTCAGGAAATGTGGTATTAGTTGTATTGTCAACACTAGTTGGTTCAGGGGTTGTGGTTGTGAATGGAATCACATCACTAGCGTTAGCAGTAGTAGGACTTGTAGGGAAAGGTGTAGTTATGTCAGGAAATGTGGTGCTGGTTGTACTTGGTTCAGGAGTTGTGGTTGTGAAAGGAATGACATCACTAGTGTTAGCAGTAGTAGGACTTGTAGGGAAAGGTGTAGTTATGTCAGGAAATGTGCTGGTTGTATTGTCAACACTAGTTGGTTCAGGAGTTGTGGTTGTGAATGGAATCACATCACTAGTGTTAACTGTAGTAGGACTTGTAGGGAAAGGTGTAGTTATGAAAGGAAATGTGGTGCTGGTTGTACTTGGTTCAGGAGTTGTAGTTGTGAATGGAATGACATCACTCGTGTTAGCAGTAGTAGGACTTGTTGGGAAAGGTGTAGTTATGTCAGGAAATGTGGTATTAGTTGTATTGTCAACAGTAGTTGGTTCAGGAGTTGTGGTTGTGAATGGAATGACATCACTAGTGTTAGCAGTAGTAGGACTTGTAGGGAAAGGTGTAGTTATGTCAGGAAATATGCTGGTTGTAGTGTCTTCAGTAGTTGGTTCAGGGGTTGTGGTTGTGAATGGACTCACACCACTGGAGTTAACAGTAGTAGAACTTGTAGGGAAAG